AGGTCTGACGAAGGAAGCTGGCGAGCGGTCGCGCAGGTACTTGCCCATTTATGACCTATTTGGGTAAGTCACTTGGAACCGATACAAAAATAAGCTTTCAGTAGGCGTAAATTATGGTATTAATACAGATAGGACAGTAGCGTACTAGAAAATAATGTAAAAACATGACTTACCAAAAACCTATTGCTTTTGTTTTATAGTTAGTTTTCACATTCACTGTCATCGTGGGAATCTCTATCAATGTCACCAACATCAACAATTAGTTCCTCTGTTTGTATGTCTATTACTTGCTCACTGATCCCTATTTTTAAATATTTAATCTACGCCCCTGATAGGAATACTGAAGAAAGAGGACTGCAATCGTTATACCTAAAAGTGCCTACTTTTGCCACCGCGCATCCATGCATTTTAAAATTTCCGCCAGCTTCCAGCGTCAGGCCTGTATTTTTGTTTTGGTAAATAGTATAGTCATCTATGCACTAAAATAGTCAAGTGCATTGAGTTAGTTTTATACAAAATCCAGTTGACTGACAAACTATCCAAAACTTATGGCTAGGGTACAAACCACAAGAAAACTATATATCTATACAAAGAAATAAAACAATTGGCTAACCATATGACATTTATAGTATATGGAGAAACTGTGGTACTTGTATTGAAAAGTCACGAAAGTTTGTGTTGTAACTTTAATTTTACAATAATACTGAAACATTTGACACTGACTCAGCAATAATGAAGGGGTAGTACCTACAAATGATACTTAATTATATTACTGTTTAAGTAAACTTGCTTGTTATGGATTTTGTTGAATATTGTCATCATTACGCTTTTATGTAATTTTATGGGGAATGCACACATCAGTCAGTAGTTTATCCACATTATAGGGGAAAAGTCGTAAATCACACTCCCCTATATTATTATCAAATTTTACAAGTTAGAAGGTAGGTACTGACCTGTAACACCCTTTTTGGAAGACCAGTCTTTTGTGAAAGTTGCTTTAAATCCTTTGCATCGGGATTATGATTGATTGCGAAGTAGGACTTCATCGTCCTGAGCTGATGATGCTTGAACGAAGTCCTCATTCGTTTCGTCCTTTGGTTAGAGCCGGGCATGCCCGGCGTTCCCGGGGATCTTCCGAAGGACATATCCAGGTAATCGGAATTTAGATCTGAAACAAAAAGAAACCCATTGAAAATGNCTTAACTCCAATATATACAAAAAAAATGGTATAGGTAATACAGAATTCCATGAACCTTGGTCTTATTTACGCAGTGATAAGATATTTCTATATTTCTACTAATTATTAAAAACATTGGCCCTCACCACTGTTTATAATTTGTCTGCAGCTCGATTCTTAGTTGTAAGTATAGCAGGGCATATGATTAACAACTGAGTCAATGTTTTCATAATGCACAAAATAAGATTGGCATATGAAAGTTCATGAAATTTTGAAAGAGCTGTATAAATACTTGAATTGTTTGGGTAGACATTACCCTTAATAATACCTGAATAAGTAATTTGTCGAGAGGGTTGGAAACCCGACCTTGTGTATAACATATTTTCCCATAACACGTGTCTAGTTACGGTACAACGTGCAATACCGTTCGTTTTACGGATCGCATCAATTCGCCCCAAAAAGTACCTTGCAAAAGCGATGCTTCAATTCGGAATAAATTGAATTCGATTTAATTTTGGTTAGTGTAGGCTTTTTTTAAGATTATTAGTTGTTAGTATGACGTAATGTTATTATAAATTATGTCAGAATATCTTCTACATTTTATCAAATTTTAATTTTTGGAATAAAGTTCCTTACCGTACGTTATGGCGTCAAAAAGCTAAACTTCATCAATTTGAAAGCTCACTTAACTTCCATTCACCTCAAATTACCTTAAATTTCTTTTTATTCCTTATTCTTTTAACAAAATTTCCTTACAGTTCCCTAGAGATTGCTATAGCGAAAAAACCTATTCAAACAAAAAAAATTCATTTGAAGAAAAAAGGAAGTTCTTATAGAATGATTTGAATATTGCTTTAAATAATTAAATGTAATATATCTAGGCACTACCGTAGTAGAAATTCATGTAGGTATTACCATTAACTGGTGTAATTCTGTGTAGGGAGAATATATCGATTAACGGATTGGGTGCAATTGAAGTGCGTCTGGATTTCGGGTGCTTTGAAGAGGAACATGATATCCATTATACATTGCGGGCAAACTATTCACGGCTTTGAAGCACATTGTGCTAGATCGGTTTATGAACGTGTGCTTGTTTTGATTTCCATCGCCGACCAAAAGTAAACGCAAAATGAGCTTTGCCAATAGACGTATAGTCAACAATAGAATAAGCAGGTATAAAATGTGCCAACCTATAATTTATTTACCGACCCATAACCACATAAAACTACAGAGTGTTTCAAAAATAACCCATTGAATTGGATTCAAAATAAAGGATATTCAGTACCCTTTATGACTCATTGCTAATCGTAAGTCGATAATGTATTATAATAATTAAATTTATGACTTCAGGTTGACAGATAAACAAACGGACAACAAAGTGATCCTACATGACAGTCCCATTTTATTACTAGGACCATAACTATATTATTAGTTTACAGTCTGTAATAAAATTTTGTGGAGCTATCCAGGTATTTCCTCTCATGGTACAAAATTATTAAATTACTAGAATATTAAAACGTGTAATTAAAGAATGGAACTGCGTCTTAACCCTACTTTCGATCTCAATGAAGTTGTCGTTTAATTAGGATTTTTAATTAAATATCAC